TGACGGAATCTTCCAGAAATGGAAAGGCAAAGCTATAGCCTGTGGCAAAGATAACAGCATCAATGTCATCCTCCCTGGAGCCATCCTCAAATATGGCAGCTGTCTCCGTGAATTCCTTCACATTTCCTTTCACTTTCACCAAGCCAGAAATGATACGATTTGGCAGGTCATCATTTACGGTTGGATGCTGACTCAGAGCTCTGTGAGTGGTGACAAAGATCAAGTGAAGGAGAAATGACAGAAAGAGAAATCAGTACCATATAAGTAAAATTTTGCTTTGGTGGAGGTAAACAGTATGCCAATAATCTTCCCCTTGGTCTATGCATGAAGTTTGGGAAAGGTCTAATTTACACTAGGTTGGCACAGATGAAGATCAGAGCTGAAGTTGGACCCTGGATGCACTGAAAGGGACAGTGTTGGAGGGGTGAAGGAAGAGTGTTGTTTGAGGAGTGGATATATGATTTCTCAAGTAACAGTAATATTCTGTGTGTGATATGATAAGGCCACAGGTCAATAGTTTGTATCCTCATATCAAGAAGTCTGACACAACTAAGCTGTCAACATTCTGTTCAGTCTCATTTCCAGTTTCAAAGGCTCAAGAGCTAGGTTTAGGCCACTGTGTTCCAAACTGTATAATAAATTACATGTATGTAGCAACTTACAGTTTGTAAGTGGCTTTTACATGCATTAACTTATTTGACTCTCACAAAACTCTATGAAGGAAGCAGAACAGGTGTCATTATCCCGGTTTTATAAATGAGGAAATTGAGGCCTAGAAAAGTTACGTGACTTGTCCAATGATACACAGCCTGGGATTTTAGAATTTATCTCAAAGTTGTTTTCAATGAATTATCTTGGTATACTTTGGGCCTGTTATTGTTTCCTAGGGACAGCGTAGGATATGGATACTGGAAACATTGGGCTGGTGCAAAAGTAATTGCTTTTTTTTGCCATTACTTTTAATAATAATAAGGCTGGTTCCTAGTATCATGGATCTTTCTAAAAAGCAGTCTTTTTTTTTTTTTTTTTTTTTTTTTTTGAGATAGAGTCTTACTCTGTTGCCCAAGCTGGAGTGCGGTGGCACGATCTTGGCTCACTGCAACCTCCACCTCCCAGGTTCAAGTGATTCTCCCGCCTCAGCCTCCTGAGTAGCTTGGACTACAGGCACCTGCCACCATGCCTGGCTAATTTTTGTATTTTTAGTAGAGACGGGGTTTCACCATGTTGGCCAGGCTGGCCTCGAACTCCTCACCTCATGATCCTCCCACTTTGGTCTCCCAAAGTGCTGGGATTGCAGGCATGAGCCACAGCACCTGTCCTAAAAAGCAGTCTTAATGCCTGAATACTAAATTAACTCATCTTCAGACGGAGCTATCCTGGCCTCAGGAACTTTATATGTTTAAATTACCACTACTGGTTTATTGCATTTAGTTATGCTTTGACACTAGGTCGATTGTGTTCTGCATTCCAACCTAATGATTTCATCATTTTCTCCAAACCTACTCCTTTTCACCAGCAATACCACCATCCATCCATATAGTTGCCGAACCCACAAAACCATGAGTCTTATATCTGGTCACCAAGCCTTTTCCCTTTCTCCTCTTAACATCCCCAGAATAGTTTTATCTACTCTTTATCTCAACCAGATGATACAATTGTCTTTAGGACCTTCTGTCCCATCCCACTCCCACACCATTTTCAAAATGGTCTTTCTAAAATGTATGTATTATTATGTTACTCACTTGCCTAAATCTTTGAATGGCTTTGGACTGTCTTCATTCCATAATTTTTATGTAGTAGAGCAAAGGTTGTCATGCCTGATGAACCTAGAGATACATTCAGTCACTCTTCCATCTTTGCTATATAGTCCAGCCATTCCAGACTACATGCAGGTCCTGGAGCATTATGTATTTTTTGCTGTTCCGAGACTTTGTTTTTATAATTAGAATGCTATTCCCTTGTTCTATTTGTTTGGCTATCTCCTATTATTCAACAAAGCCTCAATTTATTTTGCAACCACCAAAAACATGCATGCTAAAATAATTAGGTGAAAGGTTTTTAGGAAACACAGTCTCCAAATGTCACCACACTGATTAACTTCAAAGGGAAAAAATATCTTTATAGTGGAGAAACTCGGTGGTATCTATACCACCTTATCTAAGTGGTCAAATTTAGCATAATTACTGTGAGAGACGCTGACATCATGTAACTCTTGATATGACCCCCTAAGACCAGCATCCCCTATGTAGTATATGTGTAAAAAACATTTCACCTGAATATGAAAAAGGAAGAAAACTATGCAAGTCTAAATTTAGAGACTCTCTACAAAACAATGCCTTGGGTTCTTAAAAAGAAAGCCCATGTCAAAGAGAGAATTATTTCAGATTAAGAGAGATTAAAGAGACATGACAACTAAATGTAATGGGGTGATTGATGACCTGACAGGACACTAGATTTAAAAAGATTTTTTAAAGCTATAAAAAATATTATTGGGGCAATTGGGGATATTGCCAATGTAGTAGATAATGTATTTTATCAACGTTAAATTTCCCAGGTGTGATAATTATATGATGGTTATGTAGGAGAATGCCCTTTTTCTTATTTGATACACACTGAAGTATTTAAACTGTCTTAATGACTGTAATGTACTCAAATGGTTTCAGGAAAAAAAAATGTACTTGTGTATGTATGCCCTATATTTGTGGATGTATCTACAGAGAGGGGGAAAGAGAGGAAGCAAATATAGCAAACTTAACAGGTAAATCCAGGTGAAGGGTATATGGGTGCTCATTGTACTTATCATTTTGCAACTTTTCTGTAGATCTGAACATTTTCAAAAATAAAAAGTTGGAGAGAAAATAAATTTGGAATCAGCCTCTAGAAATGTTTTCCCTCCCTGGTTCTGTGAGGACCCCATCCTTTGTACTTTCATAGCGCTCTATGTATTTCTTCATTATACTCTGTCCTCTTTCTTCTCATTAGAGTATTTAAGGTAAGATCTATTTCTTGAGTCTGCCATTTATTATTTCTGTTGCCCTCGGGAAAATTGCTTACTTTTTCTACATCTCAGTTTTTATATCTGTAAAATGTAGATAAAAAATTGTGGAGGCCAAAGCAACTCCATCTTAGAAGCTAATCTACCATATTGACTTCTGATCAACCCTGGTTCCAGGAATACCTCTGAGATTGCCAGTTAATCTGTTGTTTAATAGCATGTACTTACCGTAAATCCCACTCTTAGGGCAAACTCCTACCCATTCGCTCTGAAGTATGTGTGCCCCTCCCCTAATGTATATAATCCCTGGGTCGGGAGGTAATGGTGTAGGGATCTACCTTCTTGTCTCACCACTGCCTGAGACAGACATGGCTTCTGTTTGTAAGTCCCTATAAAATGTTTCTAAGAAACTGAATCTGTCAGCTTTTTCTTCAGTCTCTCAGCTTCCTCAGCCTTTGGAGTAGGTTTGCATTGACCTCCTCACTGTGAAACAAAAATAGTCCCAACTTATAGGGCTCTTGTAAGGATTAAGTGAGATACTGCATGTAACTCATTTAGCACCGTGCTTATCTTATAGAAAGTCCTCAGAAAGGTGAGTGTTATTTCTTTTTTTTTTTTTTTTTTTTTTTTTTTTTTTGAGACGGAGTCTCACGCTGTTGCCCAGGCTGGAGTGCGTGGGCGATCTCGCTCACTGCAAGCTCCGCCTCCCGGTTCCCCATTCTCCTGCCTCAGCCTCCTGAGTAGCTGGACTACAGCGCCCCACCGCCCGCTAATTTTTGTATTTTAGTAGACGGGTTTCACTGTGGTCTCGATCTCCTGACCTTGTGATCCGCCCTCCTCGGTGAGTGTTATTTCTATTACTATTACTATTATGTCTTTTCTCTCTGTATTTCATGCCCATGTATGATGCCTGGCTCATAACAGGTGCTCAATGAGTAAATGATGTGCTGCCCTCAGCTCCCATTTTGTTGTTGGGCATCATGCAAAAAGAACTGATACCTGGGGGAATGAGAAAAGCATTACTGCCAAAGAGAATTCTAGACTAAAAACCCACAGAGCAATAGATCTTGGACATCTGTGGGTACAAGTTAGAAATCTTATTTCAGATTCTATGAGTCTATAGGCTTTCTTTTCTTTCTTTTTTTTTTTTTTTGAGACGGAGTCTCACTCTGTCACCCAGGCTGGAGTGCAGTGGCACAATCTCAGCTCACTGCAACCTCTGCCTCCAGGGCTCAGGCGATTCCCCCTGCCTCAGCCTCCTGAATAGCTGGTACTACAGACAGGTGCCACCATGCCTGGCTAGTTTTGTATTTTTAGTAGAGATGGGATTTCACCATGTTGGCCAGGATGGTCTTGAACTCCTGACCTCAGGTGATCCACCCGCCTCTGCCTCCCAAAGTGCTGGGATTACAGGCGTGAGCCACCACACCCAGCCACTATGGGTTTTCTTAATGTGTGGGTAGAGGTAGCTCTACTATTAGCCAGTGTGAAGAGTCCTTATTCTTGTGCTTTGGCCATTATCCCTGTACTCCCATCCTGGGAACATACCTGTGTTTAGGCTTCAGGCCAAACATTTCATGGTCAAACCTTTGGTTTATCTTTGTTTCCAAATATTTGTTTGCTAATGATTGGCCACAGATCTTCCACATAAAATGTGTAAGTCGAGAAGAGAACAACACATCAAAAGGATATCCATAGTTCCCTACACGATTCAGGATCCAAGCCCCTCTCCTGGTGCTGAGGAAAACCTGGGGCATGGAAGAAATTGTTTGCTTTTGTCACTCAGATTCATAAACTTTCAAAAGCACCCCCATTTTCTTCAAGAATCAGTTCAAACTCATTAGTCTGCATGAGTTTGTTGTTTTTAACCCCTGCATAATCTTTGTGGGTTTTTGTGTTTGTTTCCTGCCATTTTCCTTCCCAAACACTAAACTTACAATTAAATTGGTGTATCTACTGTCCAAGAATATGTCTTGCTCTAATCCACCATTGTATTTCTGTTTAGTGCCATTATGCCTGCCTGAAATGCCTTCTCTCTTCTTAACTCTCCAAATCCTGTTCATTTTAAAGACCCGGATCAAGACTGCCTCCTCCATGAAGACACCAGTGACCATTCAGGCTGACAATTTTCTCCCCATCCTCTGAACTTCTCTAGCACTTATCACCTGTAGAACTCATTAAAAATCATGTACTGGTAAAGTTGAAAGCAGCTGGAGACCATTTAATCTAAAACCCTCATTCTTTTGCCATTGACATTGTTTGCATTATTACAAAAACTCCTGCTATTTATCATTTTTGTTGATATTAAACTTTCTACACTCTTGATTTCTGTCTCTTCAAATGTGTTTTCTCAAGGGTAGGAGATAAAGCCTACACATCCACAGCAGATTATCATCACTTCCGTTTATTGGGATTTGTGACCTTTACGTCATTGTGCTAGGTCCTTCATCTATATTACAACCACCTCTTGAGGAAAGTATTATTACACCCATGTTATAGATGAGGGGTATGGAAAGGATGAATAACTTGCCTGAGATCACAGAGCTAGTAAGTGGCAGAGCTGAATTTCCAACCCAGGTCTTACTAACTCCAAAGCCTGTGCTTAAGAAATGTTTGACTGATTATTTAATGGAGAAAAATAATATTGCTAGTAGAACAACAGGAAGCTAGTCAGTCTTTCTGTGTCCTCCGCTGGCTAAAGTCCATGTTCAGAGCTGATAAAGATTTGATATTCAGTTACCCGGCAAAAGAATCACTTTTCCTACATTATGAAACTGTCTGGAGATGGCTTCCAGATGGTAAGTTATGTAAGTACATTGCTTCATAGTCTTTTTGTCTAAGATGACCTGTCTACAGAGGGATAATTGTTTACTTCACAAATCTTATCTTCCCTGTGGTGACTGTAAGCGCTGTGATAATTATGTACTTCCACAGTCACAGTTGAAAGGGCATATATGGTCTTAGAAATTGAACAGTTTTGGCCGGGCGCGGTGGCTCACGCCTGTAATCCCAGCACTTTGGGAGGCCGAGACGGGCGGATCACGAGGTCAGGAGATCGAGACCATCCTGGCTAACATGGTGAAACCCCGTCTCTACTAAAAAATACAAAAAACTAGCCGGGCGAGGTGGCGGGCGCCTATAGTCCCAGCTACTCGGGAGGCTGAGGCAGGAGAATGGCGTGAACCCGGGAGGCAGAGCTTGCAGTGAGCTGAGATCCGGCCATCGCACTCCAGCCTGGGTGACAGAGCGAGACTCCGTCTCAAAAAAAAAAAAAAAAAAAAAAAGAAATTGAACAGTTTTGTGTGCCGGCTATATAATTTCTGATGAGTAACGAAAACACTTAGAGCCCTAATTAAAAGGTTTCATATTTATGAAATAGTAACAATAATACATAGATCACAAGGCTGTTGTGATAATTAAGAAGTGTTTTTGTAAAAGTTGTGGTATACAGTAAACACTTGATAAGTGCTTAACTGCTGTCATATTTCTTAATTCAGTTTTCCATTTATACCTTGTTTTAAGCAAATACCATTTACAAATCAGATATATAAGGAAAATTGTTTAATCAATGTAATCTTATATGAAATTAATATTGAAAGAAAGGAATGTTTTCTCTTTACAAAAGCATCCACAAGAATTATATGAAAAACTTCCATGATATACTGAAACATATAGGTCCATTTAAAATGTTTGATTTATAAACAAATCTTCATGAATACAATTTACAAGTAAAGCAAAAAGTTAGAACTCAGCAATTGAGTTTCTTCAGCTTGCATTAGTGGTGTGACAGTATTGCCTCTGCTATGCAGACATAGTTTTCCTTTGCATTTTCCCAGGCTTTCTCACAGACACAGCCACCTTATGCAGAAATGCTTTGTTATTTGGCAACCTGCAGTTCCCCAGGGCAGGTAAGGCCAAGATCCCTTAGAACTACCCATTTGACAAGCCAATGATATTAAAGAAAGCTCTTGCCATGGGTCCCCACTCTTCCTTTTTTGCACATTCTTCTACCATAACACCCACACATGTTTTAACCCTTGTTTATATAATTACTTTAATTATTTTTAATCCTTGTTTTTATATTGTTATTTCCTGATAAATGTCTGTTGAATTAATTCATGAAGTAACATATGAAATAATTTTTGTGGTTGTAGATGAGGATAGTAATGAGAAGAAGTGTTTTTCAAACAAAGTTGCTGAGTAAGAGTCATTTAACAGAATTGTAGCACTAAGCTTCTCATTAAAATAAAACAAGTTAAAACATCTTTGTAGAGAAGCATGGCTTAATTAAAGTTACTAAAGAACAACCAAGATGTTTACCTATTGCCAATAGAGTTTAATTCAATAAAGACATTAATAACAATACAATATTGGCATGTCTTTTTCCAGGAATTCATAGTGAAGACACTTGCTTCTCAGTTCAAAATCTGCTATACAAAAACCAAAACGAACAAAACAAAAAGCCAAGGAGATATAATTGCTTTAGAATGAATGTTATTCTGAGTTACCTAACTGTATGCAAAGGCAGGGGCAAGCTGCTTGCATGTGCTACGGTTTGGACGCTATATGGATACCTACATTGTCTTTGGGAAGATAAGATTGCTTCTTTTTGGGGAGTGTAAAGGAAAATTCACCCACTATCCTATGAGTGAAAAGTTTCTAATGATCACAGTGTGTTTTCCTTTATATAAGAACATAGCACTTCTGCTGGCCAACAGAAGATCCTCACTCTCAATACTGCTCTCTAACAACCTCCAGCAATTACTTGGTCTTTATCAAAGCCAGAGGCACACTCTAAGAAGATGCCTGATTAGGATAATGAGCCCAGACTTTAGCCGATCCAGTTCCTTGGTATGAGGCCAGCTGCATAATGGAACTCTAACTGGTAGCCTTAACTCCTCTATTAGCATCAATCACAATGTTGCCAACTGAGGTAATGAAACCAAGCCCTACATTTGCCACTGGCACTGATGGGCTATGTGCAGGTATCCCTACTCTCTGTTGGGCCCACCTGCAGCTTCCTTGGAGAAACTGAAGCTAGAGTTAAGCAAAGTAAATAATGGAGTGATTCAAACCTGCTTGGCTGTGTGGCTAATCTCTACAGCCAGATCCCCTCCAGAATTCCCAATGCCAATTATAATGACTCTCTTTCCAGTGAATCCCTCTGGGTTCTTATAGTCTCGACTGTGGAAGTACTGCCCTTTGAACTTCTCAATTCCTGCAAGAGAAGGGAAAATAATTATTGGGTAATGGTTTATATGATGGATATCATTTGTCAAGTCACTTGGTCTTTTTGCAGACTTAAGTTTAAGCATATATTCTCCAAGTGTTCTCTTTACTCAGCTACTTTCTTGCCTTTCTCAGTATTTTTGCCTTTTTTTTTCCCCGTAACCTCAGAGTAGTACCTTGTGATTTCCTTGTCATAGGTACTTTGCTTAACTCAGGATGTGTTTGTATTTTGGATTTAGAGACTATAAATAAAAACTGCCTCAGAAAACCTCCATTCTCTTTTGTCCTTTCATCCCCTTAAATACCTACTCCCATTTCGCTTATAGCACATATATTCTTATATACTTTAGAGTATACAGAGTACTTTTTAAAAAAATGAAAATCCAGGCCAAAGACTGAAGTTCTTCAAGCTTTCATTCCTTCCTTAGAAACTCAATATTCCTGTTTATTGCTGAAAAATTCCTCATTTAGCCTAATGCTCCTCAAGAACTCCACATTCTTCCTTTTGATACTTAGAAAAACTAAAGTCATTGTAAAACTAAAGAGACCTCACATTTTGCTCTAATCTCCAAAATTACAAAAATGACAATAATACAAGTTACCTCAACATCTTTCTGGGGAACAAGAAGAATTAGGGTAAGTCTTACTTCATTCCAAAGTAGGAATTACTCAGACTACAATCCTCCCATTCCTCAGGGGTCAGGTCACAGGCATGGGTCAAAGGTCTTCCTTCCTGGTAAGGTGCTCACCAGGGAAGCTTTCCAGAGGTAGATGAGCATCGGTGTGATGGCCAGTGCAAACCATGACTCCATCAAAGACATTCATCTCCTTTTTCCCTTCAGACTCAGTGACCACTTCCCATTGGCCTGAAGTTGAAAAATCAGGCTGCTTCTTCACACTGCACACAGTGGTCTGAAAAGAAAAGTGATAACCACAGGGACATCCCTGACATGGCTCTCCTTGCACAGTGTCACACAAAGGGCTGGTATCACAGGTACTATCACATAATAGGACCCACGCGGGATATCTGATTTTCATATTCCACAAATAAGAACTGTTTTGTGTTGGGCTGTGGTCAGAATGAGAAAACTTCCCCAAGACAGAAAAAAATAACATAGTGTTGGCAGGCTAATGTACCCTCCTCTTCTAGAAAAGTGCAAGTCACTAGGTCTCTCGGTCCATGTCCTAAGGCACTGTAACACCTGATTAAAGCCTGGGCTTCTCCTGTGTTTTTATGATACTCCATGCACTAAATGCCTATTCTTCTCCTGATCCCTATATGTCCTGAGATCTTCTGATGTCTTCTTACCCCAGGTTCTCTTCTCCTGGCCACCTTTAAACAAGTGACTGCCTTTTCCTGGCAGGGTAGAAAAACACCTCAGTGGCTCTCACTTTATAGAAGTGAATCTCCCTTTAGCTCCCATAAATACCCATTTTACAAGGAACTATAAAGAAAGAGGCTGTGAAATAGGATAGTGTTACGACTTTTAACTTTATAAAAATAATAAATATGGGTTACCCTACTTAGGTTAAGGAAACAGTATGTGCTTCTAAGGGCCTATGACCATAATGTCTTCATGGACTATTAGAGACACCACCCCTGGCCAGGTGCGGTGGCTCACGCCTGTAATCCCAGCATTTTGGGAAGCTGAGCCAGGTGAATCACCTGAGGTCAGGAGTTCAAAACTCACCTGGCCAACATGACGAAACCCCGTCTCTACTACAAATACAAAAATTAGCCGGGTGTGGTGGCACGTGCCTGTACTCCCAGCTAGTTGGGAGGCTGAGGCAGGAGAATTGCTTGAACTTGGGAGGTGGAGGTTGCAGTGAGCCGAGATTGTATCACTGTACTCCAGCCTGAGCAACAGAGCAAGACTCTGTCTCAAAAAAAAAAAAAAAAAAAAAAAAAAAAAGAGAGAGAGAGGGAGAGAGAGACCACCCCTGCATGCCCTGGCCATCCAGCACTATTTATAGTTCCTCTATCATGTTCTTTTTTACACAGGCTGGTGCCTCTGCCTAGATCACCCTTTTATTCCTTATTTGGTCGATTCCTACTCACCCTTCAAGACTCAGCTTTAAGAAAACTTTATCTCCTT